AATGAGAGTAAGAGAACAGACTATAATAATTTTAAACCTGATTTCATGTTTGTGGAGTCTCACAGACAATCGTTGACTATTCATGAGATAGTTGGCATTTTATAGTATGCAACAAAAGACAGCATTTCTTCCTTACATTTCTCTTCCTCTCACCACCGACATTTAAAAACTTTATGTCTTAACCAACTAAATGCAATGGGCGATCAGGGATTAGATCCTCAACTTGGCAAGGGGAGGAAGTTGAGAAATAGCTATGATGACATCAGCAAAAAAATAAATAAAATTTGACTACAGACTCAACAATAGTATTGTATCAGTGTTTAAAGTCTTGATTTTGATCATTGTACTGTGGTTATAAAAGAGAATGGTCTTGGTCTTAGACAATATATAATGACCTATAAAGTGATAAAAGGGGCAACATCTACAACTTATTCTCAAATTGTTCAGAAAATAACATGCATAGAGAGAGACAAAGAGAATGATAAAGCAAACTGGACAAAACCATAGGCAAATTCGTAAATCTGATTACTGGAGAGGTTACTTGAGAGTTCCTTCTACTATTCTTGCAACTTTTTCAAAGTTTGAAACTACAGCAAAATATGAAGTTATTAAAAAAATGTTTTCAGAGTCTAGATGGAAGGAATGGTACCCTTCAACCCAACTACCTTCTGTCTTAAGTAGATTTCTGCTTCCTAGAGAGAAAAAACGCATAGTAAAATGTTATGAAGTGAAAATGAATAAATTGGTAAATTAAGAGGATGGATCATATCCTAGTAAATGATTAATTACAAGGAAGTTCAGATCCAGGACAGGAGATTAAGAAGGCAGATATGAATCAGAAGAAGAGACATAAGAAAGGAAATTGAGACACAAGAGAGGAAGTCAATACTACCTTTTTTCAGAAACAAGGAAACTCAACTGCCTACAAGAAAATGAGTTTTCACCCTGGCCGAGTAGCTCATTTGGTTAGAGCAGTGGTCGGCAAATTGTGGCTCGCGAGCCACATGCGGCTCTTTGGCTCCTTGAGTGTGGCCATGAAGTTTCAATCGCACTGTACGTGCACGCCCGCACGTGGTATTTTGTGGAAGAGCCACACTCAAGGGGCAGCAGTTTGCGGACCACTGGGTTAGAGCATTGTCCAGATATGCCAAGGTTTCAGGTTCCATCCATGGTCAAGGCACATAAAAGAAGCAACCAATGAATGCATGGATAAGTGGAACAACAAGTCAATGTTTCTCTCGCTCTCTCAAATCAATAAATAAAAAAATTTTAAATAATGAAAAAAATTTAAAATAATAAAAGAAAAAATTTCTGAGATAATACAGTTGAGAATTTTCAGAGCCAAAAAAAGTTTCCTTGTACAATAAGCACTGTACTACTTCTATTGAGTGTTTAGAGCTGTATCACTTTTTACAAGCTAGTGAACTATCTGGTAAAGTGTGATGCAAATGCTTCCAATTTCTCTATAGTAAATAAAAGAAACTTTTCCCAGCCCACACCCATTCTCCAGAATCAGACGACGTGCTGAGAGATACAAATCCTCAGGTAGGATTACAAGTGTCCTGGAAACCTATGCGTCCCACTGAGAGGTCCCCATAGTCTAAGGATACAACCAGGAGAGAAACATGTGATCATCCCTGGACTTTAGGAAGCTCTTATCTCTATATCACAGTCTCCAGGCTCCCAGGGCTGGTCAAGAAAACCATCCTCTATGACCCAGAAGACTCCATAGAAATATGAGAGTTTCCCCAGGATGCTTAAGAGACTCATGTCACGTCATACTCGTAACTGATTGCCTCAACCATCCTGTCCGTTACGCTGGGTAAAAGACTAAAATTTCAAGCATCTCATTACAAACAATGTTCGATTTCAGTACAGCTGGAATAAAATGATAAGGGATGCACTGGTGGCATTATGGAAAAAGCACTGAACTTAAGAGTCAGAATATCAAGGTTCAAATTCTGACTCTTCCACTTGCTTGCAGTGTGACAACCTTTCTGGGTATCATGGTTCATGATGTATGTTTAGGATGAGCCTGCCCTGCCTGTGTCTAAGATTATGGTCTCTCCATCTCTCCTTCCATCCAGCCAGCCCTTCTACCGAGTACCCACTGTGCACTGGGCCCTCAGAAATGCGAAGATAAATAAGCTGTGAACCCTGCCCTCCAAGAGTTTAAAGTCCAATGAAGGACTAAGATATGTAAATGAAGTCAGACAACCAAGATGCCATGATAAAAGTATTTACAGGCACAGAGGGTTGGAGTGGGGTGTGGATTCTACCTTTAGTGGGAAAGAACTAGGAAAGGCTTCAGAGAAGGTGGGGAGTGAGCGGAGTCAGGAAAGATGAGCACTTGCCAGGCACTCAACCAATTTTTGGTGGCTGAAAAAGACAGTGGATGGAGAGATAAGTCCTGGCAGGAAGGTAGAGAAGGATATCACTCCAAGTAGGACTGACAAAGGCACCATGAGACAGGGCAATTGCAGGTAGAAGATATGGCTGATGCCAGAGAAAGTAGGGTTGGCAATTAGAAAATTGCATTATGCACCTTGTATTCCAAGCTAAGGAGTTTTAACTTGATCCTAGAGAAAATCAAAGAGAAGATACAGGTTTTCAATATCTCTCTGAAGACTCTGTAAACGAAAGATAAATATTCAAGAGTGGAATCAGGTAGAGCAGTAATCCACCTAAGAGAATGGGGTGGGGAGCCGCTTTAAAGTTGTAACAAAAGGAAGGAGAATTCATGGGACCTGGTAATAGATTGGACGTGTGCTAGGGTTGAAGCAGTGATGACAAAGGAGGAGTTCAGAGTATGAAAAGATAGAAAATGTATATAAAAGTAGTTTCTAAACTATATATACAAACTGGAAGAGCACTGTTTTACAATGCTCAAGTAGATAGTGGCAGAACCAGGACAAAACCCCTCTCTAGTATTAATGTTCTTCTATCACAAAGAAAATTTTAAAAATTCATAACTGAAAGTAATAAAAATATACTTGCTTTAAAATACAACTCTACCTGTGTTATAGAAAGATTTAACAGAATTTTTCACTCTTTGGAGTATCAAGGTGGTTTCAAAGATAGGCTTTGAAAAAAAAAGCCCTGTAATTCATTAGGTGTATGATCTTATGCGAGTTTTTAAACTTTCTAAGCCTCACATCACTCATTTTTTAAAGGGGGATACTAATAATACAATTTAGCATTGTTTTGAGGGGAAAAAGTCATGCATGTAAAGTATTCAGCACAGTGCCTGGCATATATTTGGTGCTCAAAAATTTTTACCAGTATTACCACTGATTTGCAAAAAAGAGTTAACATAGCTGGTCTATGAGACTACTATCTTGGGAAAGGCTGGCTTACAAGGTTGGCCCTTGGCTTAAACCTGAACTCTGGGAGGGCCCTGCCATTCCGAGCACCCATAAGAATAGCTCACTGAGCCTAAACTATTTGTACAAACAATATGTTTAAGCTGAACACCTGCTTTCCTTCTGGAGTCTTGAATGTTGGTACATGCTAGGCAGAGGGTACTTATGTGATCAGCCTCCAACGAAAACCTTGGCTACTGAGTCTCTAATGAGCTTCCTGGTAACAACATTTCATAATTGTCACAATTCGATGCTGGAGGAATTATGCACACCCTTTCTGGCTCCATTGAGAAAGGACTCTTGCAAACTTATGCCTGGTTTCCTCCAGACTTGCCCCATTTGCCTTTTACTTTTGCTGATTTTGCTTTGTCTCTTTTTACCGTAATAAACCAAATAAACTGTACCTGAGAGTACAACTATATGCTGAGTGCCGTGAGTTCTCCTATCAAATCATCGCACCTGGAGGTGGCCTTCGTGATCCGACACAACTAGTGTCCCTACTCCGCGACTTTATAAACTATTTGCCAGTTTCATACTGGAGCAGCATTACAGAAAACACACCAACCAAGTTAGTAGTACCTAAGTCCAGTTATAAAAAGTTCCTGATTTCTTAGCTAGCAATTGTTGGAGATTTACTCACTACTTGAAAAGTTTTTATTCCACATCGCGACATAGAGAAATCTCTCCTCCCCTTGTTTTCTCCCCGCTATTTCGTGGCCTTTTTCCCGATTAACCCCCAGCCGCGCAATCCCCTGGATTCCATTGCAATACCACACAGAGCGTCCCCTGGCGTGTCAGATGATCTGACCCATGTGCAGAATGCAAGATCACTTATGAAACCCCCTTTGTTCTGTGTTATTATGAGTAAGATCAAACAACATAAATTGCTGGGAAGATCAATTACCAGTTCATTAGAATATGCAGAAATGTGAGCTAGTTGTGAGTAATAAGAACAAGGAGGGCACGCCAAAGAGTGGCCCGTCACGGGAACTGAAGCACGGGTTTTCCAATGTCAGAGCTGGAAGGCACAGCTTGCCTGAATTTCCACCATCCAGAACAGAATTTCTCAGCCAACTCCCAAAGCACAATGAGCTGTACTTAACAGGAAGTTTCAATAAATGCTTATTGCCATCGTATTGAAGGAGCCTGGGGTCCAGAGAACCAAGAGAGGGCAGAGGTCTGTCCCACTTTATGATGAATTGATACAGACACAGTTTCTACGTGTTAAAGAAGACTTTGATATGTATGCAATACAGTAACTTATGGGAAAGAGCCATGTATACAATATACTTAATGAAGCCCATAAGGATTTAATTTGTTTTCATTAACAGATTAATTTAGTAGGCTGATAGAAAATGTTTACCCATATATACCAAACCCATAATTAATGAATAATTTATATCCACATCCTAAACTTTATCTTTCAAATCCAAATAACATATTATTACCTTTACTTCATTATTAACTTCATTAACCTAAAGCTTATTCCATACGTTTGGGGGCAGTATTACAAAGTAGTAACAACACAGAAATCAGCAAAGCACATTTTGATTGTCTCCTACCTCATTGGGGGCAATATTACAAAGTAGTAACAACACAAAGTAGAAATCAGCAAAGCACATTTTGATTGTCTCCTACCTCTGCTCGACCTTCATAGTAGGTTAACATGGACTTTGTTAGCACAAAAAGTCTCTCTTTGTAGTTTAAGGGCGATGTCTTCTTTCTCTGCTGTGACCTTTTAATAAGAATCTCTTCTAGAATAGTGTTAAAATTCATCTCGGTCTTCTGATCACTCCTTCTCCTGCCATTGAAGATTCCAGTATTCTAAAGAAAGTGAACAGTTGAAATAAAATGTGACATTTTGATTTTCCAAGGATGTTGTCATTTCAAATCACCAAAATAAGCCTTTATCCTCCCCACACCCAGAGCCAATAAATGTTATTCCACACACCTGGACTGAGAATGCCAGGTCACAAAAGCTCAACCTCCACTTCACCCCCGGCCTCACTCTCTTCACCCATATCCAGCATTTTACAGAAAGCCTAATCAAGGTTTGCCATGATGATGATTCTCTGCTTTGTACCTCCCCAGCATCCCTTAACTTTCTGGCACACCCTTCTGCTATTTGATTGCAAGGACACAAACATCTCGGATGGAAAAGTACAATTCATCACCTGCCTGGCTGATTTAAGCTTCTATTTGAATAGCCTCAGGGTCTTGGCACACAAAATGGACAAGCACGTAGATAAGATAAATGTGTGAACGAAGTGAATTACCACAGTGATGGCTATGGTTCACTCTCCAGCTCTGACAAGGACGCAATCTTGATCAAACACCCTAATCACAGAGCCACGAGGACGTTCTCTCGTGTCTACACTACCACACTCCACAGTTCTCTGCTCAACCACAAGAGAAAAGGAAACCCAGTCATAGCTAACCTACTCGGCCCATATTTGAAGTCCCATGTCCAAACTAAACCTTCTAATATTCAACAAAATTTAACTATCTGAAAACTCAGGATACTCAGAAAAGGCCTGAATATTCTTATTTGAGACAAGTTGAATTGGTGACAGCCATTTCTTCCCTTCCTTCACCACACCTTTATAAGACATCATTGTATATCAAACCATAAATGCAATGGAAGTGGGTGAGCATCGACCTATGAACCAGGAACTCATGGTTCGATTCCCAGTCAGGGGTCAGAGCACATGCCCAGGCTGCAGGCTCGATCCCCAATAGGGTGTGTGCAGGAAGCAGCCGATCAATGATTTGCTCTCATCATTGATGTTTCTATCTCTCTCTCCCTCTCCGTTCCTCTCTGAAATCAATAAAAACATATTTTTAAAAAAAAGAACATAAGGGGTTACTTGAGACCACAGCCAGAGACTTGACACTGAGTTAGCCACTGAGGAATTCCACCATCTTCACACCCAACCTGATACCTCAGAAGCACCCTTGCAACTCCCTAGTACTGCTCTGTCATCATCCAATTAGGCCCTTCCATTTTCCACTTGGTTACTTCAGAGCAGCTTAACTCTGTATATCAGTTCCTTCCTTTATAAAACATGGAAGTAAATACCATGAAGTTATTGTGAGGTTTAATGAGATGTGGGAAAGAACTTATTAATTCCGCTGCTCTTTTCCTAGCTCAGCATTGTACTCTTGACCACAATAGGAGCTTTCCAACTGATCTTCCTTTCCTCATGTTATTCACACTACATACCCCTCATTCCCATTGGATCACTCTTCAAAGACACCACTTTGATCATGCCATTTCATTCAACAGAAATCCTCAATGCCTCCCTCAATGTCTCCTCAAAGCCTCCTCCCACCTGCAGGATAAAGTCAAACTCCTTAGTTTGACACTGGATTGTCTAGAATCTGGCTACAACCTAACATCGAATTTTTATTTCTATTGTTCCCCATATATTCTACACCCAGTCAAAATACTTGGCATTCAATCCCTGGTCTAGAGTCCCCTCTCTCCCTATGAAAGCTCCTCTACCTCAAAACACACTTTCTTGATGAAGCCTTTCATGCTGATTTCAATTAATTAAAAACCTTCCAATTCAGCCCTAGCTGGTTTGACTAGTGGATAGAGTGTTGACCTGCAGATCGAAAGGTCCCGGGTTTGATTCTAGCCAAGGGCATGGACCTTAATTGCAGGATCCTCAGCCCCAGTGGAGGGCACATGCGGGAGGCAACCAATAGATGAACCTCTCGAATATCAATGTTTCTCTCGAGCTCTCCCTTTCACTCTAAAAATCAATGGGAAAATATCCTCAGGTGAGGATGAACAACAAAAAACCCTGCCAATTCATGTACCCATAATCTCTGTCTCACTCATCATAGAGCTCATCATAATCTTCCATGTTATACAGCAATTAATGAACATATTTGAATTTTCACCTAGATTTTAACCTACTAAAGAAATAGTTCTCAACCTTAAGTATATATTAGAACAACCTAAGGAGATTTTCTTCTTTTTTTAATCCTCGCTGGAGGATATTTTTTCCATTGATTTTCTAGAGAGAGTAGAAGTGAGGAGGAGAGACAGAGAGAGAGAGAAACATCAATATGAGAGAGACACATCAATGGATTGCCTCCCCCACAGCCTCCAATCAGAGCGGGGATAGAGCCTGCAACTCAGGAATGTGCCTTGACCGGAATCGAACCCACGACCCTTCCATCTGAGGGCCAACGCTTTAACCACAGAGCCAAACCAATTAGGGCAGGAGATTTTCTTTTGAATGTACATGTCCAGGACCCAGATCTTTCTATTCAGTTGTTCTGGGGTGAGGCCCAGGGCATCATGATTTAATGTGCAAGTAGATTTGAGAGCCACTAACTTAAAGAAAGAGCTTGGACTATTCCACTAACTCTTTACACCATTCTTGGTGTTTACAGCAGCCTCTCAGTAAATAGTTGGGATAAAAGACCTATTAACAATGAACCCATTAGCTAAACTAAGATAAAAAGTCAGAAAAAAAGCTCTTGTTCCTTTTGCATCTAAGTTGGTCTTCCTTATTCTAAATTAAAATTTTGGTGCCCTCTTTCCTTTTTTCTTTTCCTCCTGAGAAGCTGCTGATCTGTAAATACCACATCTTTGGAAATTATCTTTTCATCTTTGTGCAGCACATCTTCAACACAGGGTGTAAACAATTTACAAAAATTGACCGTAAGAGAAAAGCAAGCTATTCCCTGGAAAACAGGTCATATGCAAATGTGTAGTTCCCAGCCCAGTGAGTAACACCATAGTTACCGAACGGAAGTCCTGGAGGATAAGGGGGTGTGGCTCATCTGCAGCTCTAGAGGCAAAAGGTCTTAACACCAGGGGCAGGTGATTCCACAAGCTTAAAAGTAGGTTTCATAGAAGGGATTGAAATTCAGAGTGGCAATCATCAAAGGCAATGCAGGATGATGGAGAAAAATCCCAAAGGAAATTGATTTCTAACCCAAAATTCTATACTCAGCCAAACTAGCAATGCAGTGACAAGAGAATAAAGACATCTTTCAAATATGCAAGGCTTAAAATTTTTTTACCTCCTATTCAGCCTTCTCAAAAAGCCACTTGAGGATGTACTCTACCAAAAGAAAGAAGTAAGCCACAAAATACATGGAATACAGGAAACAAAGGTTCCAACACAAAAGAAAGGTAAGGAGAATCTCCCAGATGATGCTGGAGGGAAAACCTAAGATGACATTGAGCAGCAGGCCAAGAGAGCAACTAGGCCAAATTAGATCAAGTTAGAAGGTTCATGGAAAGAGGTTTTTTTTAGGAGATGAACCTAAAGGTATTGAGAGAAGATCTACAGTTAATCAGTAAAACTTTGCCAACTTAAAAAATAATAATAAATTCTCTAAAGAAGATGAGATTATTTTCCTCTGTTGTTTTTTTTTTTAAGTTTTAATAGACTTTTAGGGGAGGAGAGTAGAGAGCATATATCTTTCCACTGCCATCTTCCAATAATTTTCTGACTCTCAGAGGCAAATATTTTTATTTTTTTAAAAAAAGCAAACATTTTTGTACCATCACTAAGTAACCTACTTGTATTGCTACTTCTTGGTTTTTCAATTTTAGGTATGCTCTACTGACTTCCTACTAGTACTATGGAGGATCTAGGTCCCCACCCACACACAAGAAAATTTCCTGCACTCACTTACCCTCAATATATTTATATGGGTAGTAATATTACTATTTTTTGTTTACATTATGATGAGGTCCGAAAGGTTGGCGACCACTGTTCTAGATGTATTCTACAGAGCTGAACTCTGTAGAATACTGTGATTATTTTTCCTTTTCTACAAAATTCTTTACTTTCCCTGGAATTGATTTATTTTATTTTTTATATTTGTAATTAAAGTTTTATTACAACACAGCCATACTCAGTTGTTTACATATTGTCTGTAACTGCTTTCACACTACAATGGCAGAGGTGAATAGCTGCAACAGAGACCATATGGTCTGGAAGGTCTTTTTTTTTTTACTTTATTTTTATTGTTGACACTATTACAGATGTTCCCATCCTCCCTTTGCCTGCTCCCACCCAGCCCTCACCACCCTCCCCTTCCCTCTGGCCATCACCACACTGTTGTCTGTGTCTATGACAAGAAATAATAAGTGCTGGCAAAGGTGTGGAGAAAAAGGAACCCTTGTTCACTATTGGTGGGAATGTAAATTGGTGCAGCCGCTATGGAAAATAGTATGGAGGTTCCTCAAAAAAATTAAGATTAGCATTACCATATGATCCAGCCATCCCTCTCAAGTACATATACCTGAAAAACTTAAAAACACTAACTTGAAAAAAATTATGCAGCCCTATGTTCATTGCAGCATTATTTATAATAGCCAAGATATGAAAACAACCTAAGTGTCCATCAATGGATGAATGGACAAAGAAGATGTGGTATGTGTACACAATGGAATATTATGCAGCCATAAAAAAGAACAAAATCTTACCATTTGCAATAGCAAAGATAGACATTGAGGGTATTAAGCTAAGTGAAATAAGTCAGACAGAAAGAAAAAATACCATATGATATAACTTTTATATGTGAGTTCTTTAAAAAAAAAAACACACAAGCTCAGAGACAGAGACAGGGGTTAGAGGGTGGGCAAAATGGGTAAAGGAGGTCAAAAGGTACCAATTTCCAATAATAAAACAAATAAGTCCTGGGAAGGTAATGTACAGCATGGTGACTATAGTTGATAATACTATACTGCATATTTGAAAGTTGCTGAGAGTAAATCTTAATGTAACTAGACTTACTGTGGTGATCATTTTGCAATATATACAAAAATCCAATCATGTTGCACAACTGAA